AAACACCTGACCTGACGCAACTACCTGACGAGACGCAGTGACTAGAGGAGACTCAGTGGGCAGTGTGTACAGGCTCGACCCCGGCCGACGTGTAAATGTGGCCAGGTGTCGACCTGTCCGAGCGTCCGTGCAGTGGGTCACCCGCTGACTCGCAGGAGTGAACTGGTGAACCCCCGCATCCTGTAGGTCAGCACCACTCACCAAGTTCGTAGAGAACGAGGGGAGGTAAAGACCAGACAGGGTGCCAGAGGGGGCCGCCGGACACGGGAGGACAGTAGAGAAGTGAGCAAGGACAAGACCCCTAGAGGGGTCCGCCAGAGAGACTGCAACTGGCCGGCCAAGCGGCGTGAGTGTGGTGCAGTCTCAAAAGAAGGAGCGAGAAGCCCCTAAGTCAAGGGTGAAGGTGTGGGAGGCCGAAGCCGACGCAGTACCTGAGAGAGCAGACTCACCAGCACCTGAGGGAGCAGACGCACGAGCACCTAGAGCAGCAGCCTCGCTAGCACATAGAGCAGCAGCCTCACCAGTACCTAGAGCAGTAGTCTCAATGCCCGGGTCGGGCGGAAAACACCGGTAACAATCACCCTCATCACTAATAGTCACAGCATGCATGGCAGCAAGAATAGCATCAAAGTCAAGGTCAAAGACAGCTACTCCCGCCCTAGACAGAAAGCTCCAGCGGGGGATCTCAGTGGCCTCCGGGAACTGGTGACGCCAAGCGTCCGTCAGGCGGCCAAAGCAGCGCTGGGTGGAGTGCGCACCCCCGCAATGCTCACCCGCGCGGTCGCCGGTGCGTAGGACTTAGGTGCACGGACCAGTACCCCCACCCCGGTGGCGTGCAGCGTACCACTCACGGAGCTGCTGAGGGGGGGGGATGTCACGAGTGTGCTGCTATTGCTGTTGCTGCTGGCGCTGACCACCACCGGAGCCGACCCTCTGCGCAGCGCCACCCCGACCAGCTCCACCTCCTCCGCCACCGCCTCCTCCACTGCCGCCACCTCCGCCACCTCCACTCCCACCGCCACCGCCGCCGCCGCCGCCGCCTCCGCCTCCACTGCCGCCACCGACACCTCCACCCCCTCCACCACCCCCACCGCCACCCCCACCCCCTCCGCCGCCTCCACCGCCGCCTCCACCGCCCGCGCTAGCTCCTCCAGCGCCCCTGCCCTTCTTGCCCTTGTCAGGGCGGCGTCTCCCACTAGGGGTAGACGCCGCCCCGACCGACTCAAGACCAACGAGGTCGGCCGCAGCAGCAGAGGCAACAGAGGGCAAAAGGGGGGAGGGGGAACACCCCTCAAAGATGGGGGTGCGAGGGTCATCACGAGAGGCTCCTACAGCTACTATGCTCTTCTCTGCTGCTAGGAGGGCCTTCTCGAGGAGGTCAACGGTGAGAGTGGTGGGGCAAACTGAGAGGAAGTGGTCCCTGACTACGCGAAGGGAGTCAGGGAGCCGGGTGACTATGTAGTAGAGGGTGATGTACATAGGGGGGGGGGGTTCTTGGCGCAGAACTCAGCAGGAAGCGCAGCGCGGTAGCGAGTGTCACTAGTGCGGAGGTGCGTAATGAGGTCAGCGGTTGTGGGAAAGGCAGCAAGGTCAGGGAAGAGGTACGTTAGCATGAGGCGGCTCAGTGCAGCGGTGGCAGGGGAGGAGTAGCGTGCAACTACAGCGTCGTACAAGGTCTGAGCACTCCTGTACTGACTAAATTGCGCATGCTCAGAGGTAGGCAGGTGGCGACGCACAGCAAGACGTGCAGCAGCATCGCGTGTGGCCCACTGTGAGCGAACAGTGGCGTGGGACTGAGCGCGCTCTGGGCAGGAAAAAAAATCGAATCGGTGGGCCCTAGGAACAGTTCCCACGAGGGAACCTGCTCGATAGAATGAGAAATCTAGAACGAGAATGAAATGCACTATGAAACAGTTGGGTACAAGTACTAACCCTAATTGGGTTGTACCCTTTATGGGCTATCCCACTACAGCCTACACAAATGTATAAGCTATAATGTTCTGACAACACAATCGTTATGGACAATTTTTTTTCCATCATCTATACTAATTTATAATTAGAAAATGAGAAAAATCTAGTGAATGATAGCTAAGTGATTGACTGCTAACGGTATGTATTTGCCACGGCAATTTAGCACATGTCGTACAACTTTCCTTCTCATTTCCTAGTTTGCCTTGACTGAACCTAAACTATGTGGATGAAACATGAACATCGGTTACGGTATCACAATGATGTTGCTGTGAATGCGTAGCTGTCTATTCTGTAATGCATTATGCCGGATGGTATTATGCATAGTTGAAGAATAATGATGGATATGGTGAACCAAAAATTAAACGTGAAATGCATAAATATGATGCATATGCTACTGTGGTGAATGTAGTATATATGTTTAGGTATATGTCCAATGTAGTGATATGCATGCATAGCATGATGAAAATGCATAACAGTTTATTGACCCAGAATGCGTAATATGATGAAAATGCGTGACAGTTAATTGACCCATCCACTAGGCTATCGCATCCCATGCCTAGCATGGGGGGGAAGTGTCAGAATGTTATGCTCTAGCCTGTAGTGGGGTGCTCTATAGCGAGTACAACCCTTCTAGGGTTTGCTATTTGTATCCTCATTCCTGCTAGTGAACCCCCTCTTTTGCCTAAACTGTTTCTTGCCTAGCTAGGGCTTTCCTAGCTATGGCACCTACTTTTGCCTACTATCTTCACATGGTATTAGAACGATATGCTCCTGGTCTCTGGGCCCCACCTCACTGCTTCCGCTGCTACTGCTACTCCCTGTCCGCCGCGCGCCCCGTGGTGCGCGGCGTCGAAATTAGGGTTTTCAGCCCGCCGTGCGCCCCGAGGCGCGCGGCGGTTTTCTGCCCGCCGTGCGCCCCGAGGCGCGCGACGGGTTTCTGCCCCGTCACTCGGCGCGTCGCCCCCAGGAGGCGCTGCGACGGGCGACGGGGACCCGCGCGTCGCCCCCCGTTGCCCGTCGTGGCCTGCGCGCGGCCCGTACAGGCTGCGTGCGGCCCGTACGGGCTGCGCCAGGCCCGGACGCGGCCCGTACGGGCTGCGCCAGGCCCGCGCGCGGCCCGTATGGGCTGCGCCAGGCCCGCGCGCGGCTCGGGCCGCCTGCGCGCGGTTCGGGCGGCTGTGCCAGGCCCGTGGGCGGCCCGTTCTTCGCTGCCCCTGCACTGCCCGCTGTCCCCCGTGCCTCTGATGGCGCCCCACCCCTGCTATTGCTTGTGCTCCTGCATTAGGGTTTAGGGGTGGAGCGTGTGGGGGTATGGGGGTACAGTTTATCAGCGGCGTCCCCTGCTGCTCCTCCTCCTCCTCCGTCTCCCGCTATTGCAGCTGCCGCTTAGGGGGGTGGGTCTGTGGGAGCCGAAGGAGTGGTGCTAGGGGGGTGACGTGGGAGTGGAGCTAGGGGTGAAGCAGGGGGTGTGTGTCAGGGGGGGTGGGACTGTTTGAGGAGGTTGCACGGAGGTTGCCGTCGTGTCGCCAGCAGCACCTGTAGTCCGGGGAGTTGCTCCGGTAGCCCAGTCGCAGCCACCTGTACCAGTTCCCCGTGGGTCCGTTGCTCGTCTGCCGCTACTTTTAGCCGTGGAGCCAGTTACTCCAGTAGTCCGGAGCGCTGTTCCGGTAGCCACTGTGCCAGTATGCCTCCTGTTGCCCGCGTGTCTGCAGCTTCAGTCGTCGCCTCCTATCTCCTCTCCTCTTACAGTCTCGCCTCCTCCTCCTACCTTGCCCTCTGCGATAGCCTCTAGCTTTACTTACATTTGTGAACTTTAATATGTGGTTCTTGAACTTGTGCTCAGAATGTGTGGTGACATTGTGATCCACCCTGAGCTTGCTCTGCTGATTACACCCCACTTTGGCTATGGGGGTGTGTTAGAATGTTATGCTCTAGCCTGTAGTGGGGTGCTCTATAGCGAGTACAACCCAATTAGGGTTAGTACTTGTACCCACTTGTTTCATAGTTCATTCATTCTCGTTTCATTATTTCACATGGTATAGAGCGGGTTCCCTCGTGGGAAAGCTTCCTAGGGCCCACCCAATCGATTTTTTTTTTTTTCTGACCGGAGCACGCCTCGCTCCTCCACGAGTCGCGCCCCGAGTGCCCTCCTTACCGTCGCGCCCTCCCTAGGCCTCTTCCGGCCCCGTCGCGTCGCCCCTAGCGGTCCCTCGTGCCGCCCTTCCGGCCTGTCGCCGCCCTTCACGGCCGTCGCCGCCCTTTCGCGGCCCGTCGACGCCCTTCGCAGCCCGTCGCCGCCCTTCGCGGCCCGTCGCCGCCCTTCACGGCCTGTCGCCGCCCTTCGCGGCCCGTCGCGCCGCCCTCACGGCTCGTCGCCGTCATCTGCGGCCCCTAGCGCCGCCCTTCACGGCCCGTCGCCGCCCTTCGCGGCCTCGCGTGCCGCCCTTACGGCCCGTCGACGACCTCCGCGGCCCCTCGTGCCGCCCTCTTACGACCCGCCGTCGCCGCCCGTCGGCTCAGCACGCCGCCCTTGCGGCCCTTCGAGCCGCCAGTCGGCCCACCGTGCGCCACCCTACCCGGCCCAGGCGCCTACTCCTGCGGCCCCAGCACCACCCTTCCGGCCCCGACGCCGCCTCCCCCGGCCTCGCCGCTGCTCCACCTGCCCTCGAGCCGCCGCTCCACCTACCCTCGAGCCGCCACTCCACCTGGCCCCTCGAGCGGGCGGCCGCCGTCGTCCCGGAGGCAGGAGCCGCCGCCGCCGAGCCGCCCAGCAGCCTCGCCGCCGAGCCGCCCAGCAGCCGAGTCGCCGAGCCGCCGAGCCGCCCAGCAGCCGAGCCGCCGAGCCGCCCAGCAGCCGAGCAGCCGAGCCGCCGAGCAGCCGAGCCGCCCAGCAGCCGAGCCGCCGAGCCGCCCTACAGCCGAGCCGCCCGCACCGCCGAGCCGCCCAAGCAGCCCTGTCCGGTAAGAACAGCGCCTCTGTCACTGCACTGCCCTTACCCTACTGTTTGCGCTGCTAGTCTACTGCTGTCATGGCTACCCCCAGTGTCCTCGCTTTAGATGCTGAGGGTCGGGCCATTGACTTCGACGTCTGGATAGATGACCTGCAGTTTTTCTTACAGTGCGATAGGGCAGACGGTCTCTCCCTCTTTGACCTCACCTCTGGTGCCTCTACTGCCCCTGCTGCTGATGCTAACGCCACTGTTTGCTCACAGTGGGCCACACGCGATGTTGCTGCACGTCTTGCTGTGCGTGGCCACCTGCCTACATCTGATCGTGTGCTCTTTAGTCAGTACAAGAGTGCTCAGACCTTGTATGACGATGTAGTTGCACGCTACTCCTCCCCTGCCACCGCTGCACTGAGTCGCCTCATGCTACCGTACCTCTTCCCTGACCTTGCTGCCTTTCCCACAGTTGCAGACCTCATTACGCACCTCCACACTAGTGACACTCGCTACCGCGCTGCGCTTCCTGCTGATTTCTGCGCCAAGAACCCCCCCCCCCCCATGTATATCACCCTCTACTACATAGTCACCCGGCTCCCTGACTCCCTTCGCGTAGTCAGGGACCACTTCCTCGCAGTGTGCCCCACCACTCTCACCGTTGATCTCCTCGAGAAGGCCCTCCTAGTAGCGGAGAAGAGCATAGTCGCTGTAGGAGCCTCTCGTGGTGACCCCCGCACCCCCGTCTTTGAGGGGTGTTCTCCCTCCCCCCTCTTTCCCTCTGTTGCTTCTGCTGCTGCGGCCGACCTCGTTGGTTTTGAGTCGGTCGGCGCTGCGTCTGCCCCTTCGGGTAAGCGCCGCACAGGCAAGGGCAAGGGGGGTAAGGGCGCTGGGGGAGCTGGCGGGGGCAGTGGAGGCGGCGGTGGAGGCGACGGAGGGGGTGGGGGTGGGAGTGGGGGTGGTGGAGGGGGTGGAGGTGCCGGTGGCAGCAGCGGAGGCGGAGGCGGCGGCGGTGGTGGCGGAGGGAGCGGAGGCGGCGGTGGTGGCGGAGGAGGCGGAGGTGGCGGTGGAGCTGGTCGCGGTTCTGCGCAGAAGAGTGGCTCCGGTGGTGGTCCGCGCCAGTAGCAGCAGCACGGTCGTGAGACCCTGTCCCCTCAGCAACTCCGTGAGTGGTACGCAACACGCCAGTGGGGTGGGGGTAGTGGTCCGTGCACCTACGTCCTGCGCACCGGCGACCGTGCGGGTGAGCAGTGTGGGGGTGCGCACCCCACCCAGCGCTGCTTTGGCCGCCTGACGGACGCGTGGCGTCACCAGTTCCATGAGGCCACAGAGATCCCTCGCTGGGGCGAGCTGTCTAGGGCGGGGGTTGCTATTTTTGACATTGACTTTGATGCTATTCTTGCTGCTATGTATGCTGTGACTATCAGTGATGAGGGTGACTGTTACCGGTGTTTTCCGCCCGACCCGGACATTGAGACTGGTGCTCTAGGTGCTGGTGAGGCTGCTGCTCTTGGTGCTAGCGAGGCTGCTGCTCTAGGTGCTAGTGCGTCAGCTTCCTCAGGTGCTGGTGAGTCTGCTATCTCAGGTACTGCGTCGGCTTCGGCCTCCCTCACCTTCACCCTTGACTCGGGGGCTTCTCGCTCCTTCTTTCGAGACCGCACCACACTCACGTCCCAATGAAATCCACATTAAACACCGATACAAAGATTGTGCTAATGATATTGTAGGTTGTTGACTTCACTCACATACCTTCACATGCCACTGGCCTTGAAGCGCGTCCAACACCTCTTGCCGCTCGCCCAATGTCATGGAGTGGAAATCCGACACCTGAAATCTTGGGAAAAGTCGTTCCAAGATTTCAGGCTGAATCTCCAAACCATGAGCCTGCGTCTTGAACGAATCTGGATAGGAGACAAGAAATTTGAGAAATTATATCCAAACGAATGTAATGTACCTCAAATTTGTGGAACGCATGACAGACATCCAAACAGAAATGATCAACGCTTACCGCTCTCATGAACAACAAGAGTCGCTGTCACGTTATCAAACGTGTGGACTGATGTCGCTCCGTGGACGCGACATCTGTGGACATTCGAAGCCGCAGATGTGAAAATAGGCATTCCACAAGTGGAACCCCCTGCGTCACCAGTGCAGACGACTCGACTGTCGTGCACTGGGTCTCTGATCTCTGCCGGGAATGTAGCTATCTTCTCTTCGTTTGTTACCATCACCAATGTGTCCACATGAGACATCCTGATTGTACAAAACAAAAAAATACGTATGAATCATGTTCAATATGAACTGCTCACTCGCGTAAATTTTGATTACTTACAAGCTCAGGAGACGCGTGACAGTAGGACTGGACGCACGAAGAGAGTCCGACTCCGGGTCAGCAAGCGCAGGAAGAGAGGACTGAGGAGGAGACGGCAAAGGGACACGCTGCGGGGCAGTGGAAGGACGCAGTGCCATCTGGTGCGTGCCCGGGACCGCAGGAGGACGGTGACGCGGAACACGACGACTAGTGCGAGCAGCACTTAAAGGCGACGCAGGGCGAGACACAAGCGCACGACGCTCAGCAAGACCTCCAGTAGGACCAGTGTAGGAAGAAGGAGCAGGCAGCGGTGAGGCGGGTTGTAACTGTGACTGCGACTGGACAGGCTGTGGACACGCTAAGGGAGGAGGAGGACTAGTAGAAGGCGGAAGACCAAGAACCTGCTCAAGGAGCGGAACGAAGTACGGCCGAGGCCGCGCAGCGCCTCCTGAAACAGCAGGGACAGCGCCAGTACCCCCAGCGGCAGCACCCGCGCCCGCAGCACCTCCAGCTCCAGAAGCGCCAACTCCAGCACCCTCAGAAGCACCAGCACCAGCAGCACCTCTAGCTCCAGTAGCGCCAACTCCAGCACCCTCAGAAGTACCAGTGCCAGCAGCACCTCCAGCGCCAACACCAGCAGGACCGCCAGCAGCACCACGGAGGCCGCGGCAGTACCGAGAGTACCACTCACGTAGCTGCTGGGAAGAGAGAGCTCCCCTAGGTGCAGCACCTCCAGGCTCAGGACCTCCAGACCCAGCTCCCCCAGGGACACCACCCCCAGGCTCAGCATCTGCAGTCTCTGTACCCCCAGACTCAGCACCCACAGTCACTGCACCCCCAGGCTCAGCACCCACAGTCACTGCACCCTCAGGCTCAACACCCCCAGTCTCCGCATCCCCAGGCTCCAGCACCCCCAGGCGCAGTACCTCCAGGCCCAGCACCACCAGGCTCAGCACGCTCAGTACCTCACGCAGGACCAGAGTCGACAGCTACCTCGACAGGCTCGACCGGGTCTACCTGGGAAACACCTGAGGGAGCAGGAAGTTGGGGAGGCGAGGGGTCTACCAAGGCAGCACCTGGCGTGAGGAAGAGCGGCGGAGGGGGAGCGGGGCAGTGCGGTAGGGGAAGAGCCGGTAGAAGGGGACCGACTCGTCAAAGGTGACGTCCTAGGACGACAGAACACGGCGCGAGGTGGGGTGGTAAAACTGCCAACCAGGCGCTTCAGGGGGGAAGCCAAGGAAGACGCAGGGAACAGCACGGGGGGACAGCTTGTCCGCAGACAAGTCGCGGACAAAAGCCCGAGATCCCCAGACATAAAGGAAGACGAATCGCCAACCTTCCCCGTCCACCGCAGAGTACGGGAGGTCTCCGGCAAGGAGACCCGAGGCTGAAGGTTGATCTGATGCGCTGCGTACTGAACCGCGAACGGCCACAGAAAATGGGGAGCAGCCGCATGGATCATGGACGTGCGAGCGACGTACATGACCATGCCAATGCGGTGCTCAGCAATCCCATTTTTCTGTGGAGAGGTCGGAAGCGTGAACGTCTGGCAGATGCCCTGTGCACGACAGAAGGCTCACAGAAGGTCAGAGGAAAACTCACCGCCTCTGTCGGAGTGCAGAAGCAAGACAGGAAAGTCTGAGCCGAAACTCTCTCTAAGCTGGAGACGAGCTGCGCGGATCAAGTTGATCAACACCTCAGTGACTTCACCCTTGCTGCGCAAGGGGAAGACTGCGGTGTAACGCGAGTAGTCGTCAACCACCAGCAGGAAGTAACGCTCGTGACCCTGTCCACGGACGCGGGCTAAGCCCCACACGTCCATGTGAAGCATCTGCAGCGGAGCCTCTGTCTGAGGAAACTCGGAGGAGTGAGGAGCGGCGCGCTGCCGCCCCTCGACGCAGGGAACGCAGGTGGGGCCAGGCCCCGCAGGAAGAGAAGGGAGGGACCAGGGGAGACCCGAGACAAGGAAACGAGAGGCCATGCCTCGGAGACGAGGCAGGGAGGGGTGACCAAGGCGGTGTTGCCAAAGGAGAGTTTGGTGGGACAGGAGACGACACGAGCAAGGGGCAGACTCAGGACCAGACCTGGACGCTGCAACACACACCTGACTCGACGCAGCTACCTGAGGAGACTCCGTAGTCAGTGTGTACTGGCTCGACCCCGGCTGACGGGTAAACGTGGCCAAGTGTCGGCCCGTCCTAGCACACGTACAGTGGGTCACTCGCTGACGCGCAGGAGTGAACTGCTCAACCCCTGCGTCTTGTAGGTCAGCACCACTCACCAAGATCGTGGAGAACGAGGGAAGGTAAAGACCCGACAGAGAGCCAGAAGGGGCCGCCGGACATGGTAAGACCGTGGAGAAGTGGGCAAGGACGGGACCCCCAGAGGGGTCTGCCAGGGAGACTGCAACCGGCCAACTAAGCGGCGTGAGTGTGGTGCGGTCTCGAAAGAAGGAGCGGGAAGCACCCGAGTCAAGGGTGAAGGTGTGTAACACTTGAGACGACGTGGTACATGAGAGAGCAGACTCACCAGCACCTTGGGCAGCAGACTCACCAGCACCTGGGGCAGCAGACTCACCAGCACCTGGAGGAGCAGACGCACTTGCACCTAGAGCAGCAGCCTCACCAGCACCTAGAGCAGCAGCCTCAATGCCCGGGTCAGGCGGAACACACAGGTAACAGTCACCCACATCACTAGTAGGCAATGCATACATGGCAGTGAGGATATCATCATAGTCAAGAGCATAGATATCTATCCTCTGCCTAAGCAGCTCCACCCAGTCGGGGAGCTCAGCGGCGTCGCCAAACTCCGTACGCCAGACGTCGCTCAGACGGACGAAGCAGCGGGACTCGGCGTGACCAAGCGTCCCGCAGGGCTGACTAGTCCGAACACCAGTGCGAATGACGTACGGACAGCGGGCAGAAATCCGTGACCCTCCACGCTGAGCGTACCAATCACGAAGCTGCTGGGGCGAAAGGACCGCGCGCAGACTACGCTGCAGCTGCACCTGGCCACTACAAGTAGCTCCCGAACTCCTCACGCCAGAACGACTCCCACTACGGCCACCCCAACAACCCCAAGTAGCGTACCATTCACGAAGCTGCTGGGGCGTGAGGGACTCACGGGGACGTCGCTGGAGCTGCATCTGGCCACCGCCAGGAGCAGGAGGAGCAGTGGTAGCCGCAGTAGCAGCAGTAGCAGCAGTAGAAGCAGTAGCAGTAGTCGCAGCGCGGCCACCCCTACATCCCCAACTAGCGTACCACTCACGAAGCTGTTGGGGGGCGAGGGACTCACGTGGTCAGCGCTGGAGCTGCATTTGGCCACGCCAGGAGCAGCAGTAGCAGTTGAAAGAGCAGTAGCAGCAAGAGTAGCAGTAACAGACATGCAGTGCTCACCAGGGGCGAGAAGGGCAGGCGTACGACGGCTGCAACGGTGAGGGCTCCGCGGCTGCTGTAGGGGCAGCTGCTGCAGGGGCGGCTGCTCCAGAGTCGGGTGCTGCAGGAGCGGCTGCTCCAGGGGCGGCTGCTGCAGGGGCGGCTGCTCCAGGGGCGGCTGCTGCAGGGGCGGCTGCTCCCGGGGCGGCTGCTGCAGCGGCGCTTGCTCCAGGGGCGGCTGCCGCAGGGGTGGCTGCTCCAGGGGCGGCTGCTGTAGTGGTGGCTGCTCCAAGGGCGGCTGCTGCAGGGGCGGCTGCTGCAGGGGCTGCTGCTGCAGTGGCGGTTGTTCCAGGGGCGGCTGCTGCAGTGGCAGCTGCTCAAGGGGCGGCTGCTGCAGTGGCGGCTGCTCCAGGGGCGGCTGCTGTAGTGGCGGCTGCTCCAGGGGCTGCTGCTGCAATGGCGGCTGCTCCAGGGGCGGCTGCTGCAGAGGCGGCTGCTCCAGGGGCGGCTGCTACAGGGGCGGCTGCTCCAGGGCGCGGGGCGACGCGGCGGGCAGGGGCGACGAAGGAGCCGTAACGGGGCCGCGAGGGAGCCGCGACGGGGCCATCAGGGGCCTAGAGAGGGGCCGCGGAGGGGCCGCGACGAGCCGCGACGAGTCACGAGGGGCCGCGAGGGGCCGCGACAGGGCCGCGAGGGGCCGGGAGAGGGGCCGCGTGGGGCCGCGAACGGCCGCGGAGGGGCCGCGAGGGGCCGCGAACGGCCGCGGAGGGGCCGCGAGGGGCCGCAAACGGCTGCGGAGGGGCCGCGAGGGGCCGTGAGAGAGGGGCCGTGAGAGAGGGGCCGCGAGAGGCCGTGACTGGGGCCACGAGGGAGCGGCTAAGGGGTCGCGAGGGGCCGTGAGAGGGGCCGTGAAGGAGCGGCTAAGGGGCCACGAAGGGCAGGGGACGCGGGGCGCGACTCGGGAAGGGGTGAAGCTCGCTACGGGCAGGATTTTT